AATATATATATATATATATATATATATATATATATATATATATATATATATATATGAAAATGTGGGGTACAATTATGCTCGGATGTATGGTTATATGATCAACACCTTGCTAGGATCGCACAACAACACACTCGATCTAGATGAACACAAAGAAAAATGTAAAGAGATTATTGACTAAAGGTTTATATTAATGACTTCGTGTAGAGTAAGAGAGAATATAGAAAATGCAGCACATCTCCAAAGTTCTGCTTTATTAGCTTATTATATATAGTAGATATAACCCTCTGCTATATATACCAGATATAACTATTACTATATATAAGATATAAGGTTATATATATATATATATAATCATCCGTTTTCATGCCCTAACACGCCTTTCAAATCCACCATTGTTTCTGGTTGGTAGCATCTGAAATTGAAAATGTTAGCGAAAGTGAACCGATCGCTTACTCTGTTCTTCAACGACTTTCTCTGTTCGCTCGTTCTCGTCATAATACTCTTTAGATTTCGCTTTCAAAGCACTGCTTTATATATATGGTTTAGCTCTGCTATATATATATGGTACATCTCCAAAGCTCTGCTTTATATATATATGGTTTAGCTCAATTTCGCTTTCAACGGGCTGATGTCGGAGAATTTTGTCTCCGGTGACCGGCCGGCCGCCGGAACCACGAAATTGGTTCTTGTATTTTCGCCGCGAAGAGCAATGGCGGCATCGTCGTAGGCTGTGGCGGCTTCCTCCGGCGTATCGTAAGTGCCCAACTAGAGCCGGACTCTCTGAGAAAGTCTTTTATTTCCGCTACCCACCTGCCGGATGGCCGCTGCCGGACTCCGATGAACCGCCGGGCCGGAGATTTACTGGGTTGCGAGTGGGATATGCAACGGGAGACTGCGGCGGCGGATCTCTTGGTTACTCTACCGGCGGCCATCGGCAAAATTGTGGGATTAATTTTATTTTCCTTTGGTGTTTAAAATGATTTAAAAATAATTTAAATTATTTCTGTCAAAATTTTATTTTTAATTATTCAAAATCAAGTGAAAAAAATCTCGAATTTATGAGCGTAAATTTGAGTCAACTAATTGCTTCAATTAGTGGATTTTTTTTTAATAAAAAATTTAAAGGTAATTTTTTAATTTTTTTAATTTTTTTAATTTATTAAAAATTAAGAGTATTATTAAGATATTTTTACTAATATAACATTTTTATAATTGGAATTATCTAATTATATATTCCTCCAAAATTCAGGGACAATTTTATCCACGTTCGTCCCCGCTTGGAAGCCGTGGAGAGTGAGAAAATGGCAGCACCGCCACTTCCAAATCCCTTCCTCCCGCCAATTTCACCAACGTTCTCTCCGCAGAGCCCTAAATTCTGTTTTCCGGCGACTACTCCCACCGTCGGCGCACGGCGAGCTACTCCATTCGTAGCTTGTTCTTCTGCTACTGTGAGAAATGGGGGAAGAGTTAATCCAGATGATTATCATTCCACTCTAAGAGCCCTCAATTCCAAAGGCCGCATGCCAAGAAAATCTCTCGGCCAGGTCTGTTCTCCAACACTTCGTTTATCTGATTATCTCCTAGTCATTTAAGTGATGATGTATGATGCTAATTTCTTTTAGCTGCGTTTGGATTTCTGGGAAATTGTGAAATGTGTACGGTAAATTAGTAACGGCCAGTTTATAATTTGTGTGGAAATCTTGATATAGGAAATGTAGAGTCATTTTCTCTATTCGATTACATGCTGGAATTCAGGAGGAAGCCTTTGTTCTGGATAGCATTTAAGAATTGAAAGGACACCAAATATCTGGATAATTTTGGAGGGATCTATTCTTTATGTATTGATGTTTTTCTTCACGCAAGTCATTAGGAAATCACTTTTTTTGATGATTAGTATTGAGGTTTCATTTCCTGCCCAAAACTAGGGAGACAACGAGGTTTGAAGATTTAAATACGGGGATTGAAGATGGGACATTCGAGAGTATTATTAATAAACTGCAAGTTTGATCTGATCCTCTCTCAAGGATGAGTAGTCATTGGTAGGATTGAACCGAATTTGAAGTAGCCTATGATTTCCTTCCTTCACTTGTTGGCATCTTTTATGTTTGCAGCATTATATGTTGAATTCTTCGATTAACGAGCAGCTGGCTGCTGCAGCTAATGTTAAAGAGGGCGACGTGGTATTGGAAATTGGGCCCGGAACTGGATCGTTAACCAGTGTCCTTATTGACTTAGGTGCCACAGTGCTTGCAGTTGAGAAGGTTGGTTTTTTGTTTTCTGTCTTATGATTTGATTTCTGTAAGGTTTCGATCCACGAATCCAGATGGGAGAAATGGATGTCGAAGTTAACTATGCAAATAAAGCATTTCTAACATATACCTTAATGTTGGGAACGTTTGAATCTTCGAATGTAGATTGATTGTTTGACCTGTTTAGTCTTTTAAAGGACCCTGTCCTCAGTGTAACCAAGAACTTGAATTTTTGGTTCTCAAATGCAAGTTTAACTTTTACTTCAACTATCCACTCTGGTAAATAATATGTCTTATTTTGGATTTACTGTTTGGGTATAGGATTCATATATGGCTGCTCTTGTAGATGAAAGATTTGCTGGCACAAACAGATTGAAGGTAAGTTAAATAATTTTTTTTGGGGATAACATAGTAGGATTGCTGATCAAAATTCTGTAAGGACAACAACATCTTACATGACTAAGAAGATCACTCCTAGAAATTTGTATTTCATTTATTTTTTTGTTAAATTCTCACAATGAAGTCAATTAAGAAAACTACTGATAAGATTGCTGGCCATGACTAAGCCAATCTTTTATGCAACACCTGAAGTTGGATCTTTAAATGTTCTCCATTCACCTAGCACACTTTTATAATTCTTTCTTGTAACAGCCCAAACCCACCACCAGCAGATATTGTTCTCTTTGGGCTTTCCCTTCCGGGCTTCCTCTCAAGGTTTTAAAGCGCATCTACTAAGGAGAGATTTCTACACCAAAGAATGTTTTGTTCCCTTCTCCAACCGACGTGGGATCTCACAATAATATTTGCTAGCAGTGGACTTGGGCTTGGGCTGTTACAAATGGTATCAGAGCTAGACATTGGGTGGTGTGCCGTTGAGGATGCTGGCTCCCAAGGGGGGTGGATTGTGAGTTCCCACATCGGTTGGAGAGGGGAACGAAACATTCCTTGTAAAGGTGTAGAAAACTCTCCCTAGTAAATGCGTTTTAAAACCTTGAGGGAAAATCCAAAGATGACAATATCTGTTAGCGGTGGGCTTGGGCTGTTACATTTTTCATATCACTAAGAAATGCTTCTCGTATGTTTGCTTAGTAGAAGTTAATAAAATTGATGGTGCTGGGAATAAGATATTTGTTCTTAGTTCTATGTTTATTACAAGCATTTTTTGAATATACTGGATTCATACATGGTCAATATAAGTTTTTCCACAGTGTAGGCAATGTTGTGACTATTCCAACTGAATCATGCAGGTTCTAAACGAGGACTTCACTAAATGTCACGTGAGTTCACATATGTCGTCATTGCTCAAAAGTATTGAGTTGTCTGATTCAAAATCACAACCTGCAAAAGTAAGTACATCTGCTAGATATGCTTCTTAACTTATCACATTTGATTATTTTGTATCAGAATATGCCTTGTGCAGTAACCATTTTCCTGTGGTCTTTTTGTTATGCAATGGTTCTCAAGTTCTTGCATATTTTTACATAAGTTCAAGAATGAATGCTTAAGCTCCATAACTTTCAATGATGTCATGAAGTTTTTTGTTTTGCTCATAAAATGTTTGTCATGTTCGTATACGTTGTTCGGGAAACTCAAGCATGTTTTAGTTTATGCTCCAGAAAGTGTATCCATTTGAAGTGAACTATTTTATTCTAAATTAGCTTACTTGAGTTTCTTGTCTGCAGGTAGTCTCCAACATACCATTCAATATAAGTACAGATATAATTAAACAACTTCTTCCAATGGGAGACATTTTTTCAGAAGTTGTTCTTTTACTCCAGGTAATATTGCTTTTTGAAGAACAAGCTCTGGATATGATTGGATCCTTGTTATTTGTGGTTAATACTTTTTATCTGTTTATTTTTAAAACCTATTTTTGTCATTCAATATAGGAAAAAAAAAAAAAAAAACAACATTTCAAACTTTCAAGTTTCAATTATGTGTTTGAAGGGGTAATTGCTGCTTTTTTAGTCAGGCTTTATACAGTATTTCTGTAATCAGCTATGAGATTCTTTTGAAAATTTATAGATGATATCAAAGGCAAGATACCGTGCGCATACATGTATAAACTATGATAGACTTTCAGATTATTTTGTATTCTAGATTATTCGGCTGGACTCGCACTATTTAAACCATGGATATCATCAGTCATTTTCACAGCTACCATGAATTTGTGTTTAAACTATCAGGAGGAGACAGCTCTACGCTTAGTGGATTCATCTTCGGGAACATCTGAAAAACGCCCCATCAATGTATTTGTGAACTTTTATTCAGGTATCCTACTAGTTCTACTCCTTCCAAATTGAAACGTCGATGTTGTTTGATATGTGCTGTACATGTTTTATAGCCATCTTCTAAACTGATTATAGAGATTGTTCACAATTTTGTATTTTACAAAATTTATGAATGGATTAAGATCTCCATCTTCATCTGGTTGAAGACTATGAAATGATTGATTACATGATTCAAATTACTAAACCTTAAATACCTACGTAATAGATTGTTTTGCTACATTATCTTACTGAAGTTGGAGAAAAATTTCACTGCTATTATTTTGTTTGATGGATCATAATGATCTAAATATACAAAATTTTAAGCTTTGTTGGTAACGTACAAATTTTTATGAAGTTATTTGTAAGATTTCTCTTCCATTCCTTTATAGATCCTGAATTCAAATTTAAAGTTCCAAGGACAAACTTTTTTCCTCAGCCTAATGTAAGTAATTTCTCATTTATGAGATATCTTTTTTTCTTTTTCTGTTTATACTTTCAACCCCATCCATGATTTGATTCTTCTGGAAAATTTTGGTTTCTTAAAGAAAAGGCTATTAAATGGTTGAAGTGATATTTTCATTTGTTTACGATTTTATAGGTTGACGCAGCTGTTGTATCTTTCAAGCTGAAGCAAGCTGCAGACTATCCTGCAGTTTCCTCCATCAAGAGCTTCTTCTCAATGGTTATATTTCCTTCATGGCTTCGTTAACATACACAAATTTTGCTCTTAATTCATACATACTTCTTCATTCTTGTGAAAAAACTGGGCTCAACCAAATACTTAGTTTCATAATACAAGCTATATCATTTTCCTTGATCATTGCTATTGCATAAAATAGTCTACAGCATAGAGCATGTTGCTATACTATAACGCTGTTTTCTCCCGTCTTCCTTGGCCATCTTGATCTGGTTATATCAAGAGAAAAGATCCATAAAGGACAGCATCCCATATCTAACGGTGTTGTCCACTAGAACATAGATGTGAGGAATCATCAGGAAGGAGTCCCACATTAGCTAATTTTTGGCTAATTTAGGGAATGATCATGATGGATTTATAGGTAAGGAATACATCTCCATTGGTACGAGACCTTTTGGGAAAACCAAAAGCAAAACCATGAGAGCTTATTCTCAAAGTGGACAATATCATACCATTGTAGAGATTGTGATTCCTAACATGGTATCAAAGTCATACCCTTAACTTAGCCATGTCAATAGAATCCTCAAATGTCGAACAAAGAAGTTGAGAGCCTCAAAGATAGTCAAAAGTGGCTCAAGTATCAAACAAAGGGTGTACTCTGTTCAAGAACTCTAGAGAAAGAGTCGAGCCTCGATTAAGGGGAGACTGTTCGAAGGCTCCATAGGCCTCAGGGGAGACTCTATAGTATACTTTGTTTGAGGAGAGCGATTGTTGAGGATTGTTGGGAGGGAGTCCCACGTTTGCTAATTTAGGGAATGATCATGTGTTTATAAGTAAGGAATACATCTCCATTGGTATGAGGCATTTTGGGGAAATCAAAAGCAAAACCATGAAGCTTATGCTCAAAGTGAACAGTATTATACCACTGTGGAGAATCGTGATTCCTAACAAGGAAGAGGACAATCTTCTTTTGGGCTTGTCTTAGGCGTCTTTGGACTCACGGAACCATCTTTCAAATTGAGAGAAAAACCGTTCTCGAAGCGGTCAAACATGGCGGGCTCAGGCTCCAGCTCCGCACACCTGCCGACACCTTTCGAACTCCTTTCAAGTGTGCGCTTTAGTTTTCGTATTCGTATTTCGCACTATGAAATCTTAAGTAATGAACAGCACTAATTTGTTACAGCATCTAGGTTTGTTCGTTAATGTATCCACTACTATCCTTTAACAGGCTTTGTTTTGTTCATGGATATAGGTTAACTCAGCATTCAATGGCAAGCGTAAAATGTTACGAAAATCGCTTCAACACATTAGCACAGCCCTCGAGATAGAAAGAGCTTTGGAAGATTGTAGCCTTCCAACAACTGTAAGGCATATCTCTGCTCTGCAAATCTTCTAGTTTCCACAGAATCTATTAACTGTTTTCTTCATATTTGGTTTGTTTGCAGTCAAGACCAGAGGAGCTAAGCTTGAATGATTTTGTTAGGTTACATAATTTGATTGTGAAGCAGTAATACCTGAGGCATTAACTGGAAGAGATACTCAAATCCAAGTTCCTTCAGGATGGCCTGTAAAGGAGGTTGGAAGGAAGAAACTGAAGGTGTAAAAGGAGAAGTGGACTGAGAAGGAAAAGGAAGCTTCCACAAGCAGCTTGACAAGAACCAATGCAAGCTAGGTAAGTGATTTATAGCCAACTTTGTAGTCACTGTTCATTTTAGAACGAATCCATGCCTTTTCATGCTGGTATGATGTGATTCCAGTTATATTAGTGACCAACGACGACCATTAGTAAAATTCTAAATTATTACATCTGTTTGTTTTGTTGGTCAAGTCCATTTATGGCCTCGTTTATCTTTGGCTCACGAGTTCATTGAGCAGTCATAGATTTAGATTGTGTCCTTTTAAAGGGGCGTTTGTTTTGAAGAAAAGAAGAGGAAAATCTTTATTGCACCCCTTCGTTTTGTTGGTCAAGTTCATTTATAGCCTCGTTTATCTTTGGCTCACGAGTTCACTGAGTAGTCATTTAAGGGTCTTGATGATTCAGATTGTTTCCCTCTAAGGGAGGCGTTTGCTTGAAAGAAAAGAAGAGAGAAATCTTCATCGGGATTTAAACTCTATCGCGGGAAACATATATCTATATTTTGTATAAAACTTCTTAGAGCACAAAACATAGTTTTTTTTTTTTTGTTGCAAAAATTGATGAAAATACTTTAATAAAATAATTTGGTAGTTAAGTGGTAGTGGTAAAATCCTTACATAACATTAATTTAGTAGTATTTGCCATAATTAATGAATAAGGGCAAAAAGGTAAAACTACATTTAAAATATAAAAACTGGTTTTTTTGGAAGATATTATTTATGCAATATTGTCTGCGAAATTTGATTGTAGCACGTCTGACTTGTTCACTAGATTGTCAGCGTAACACAATCGCTGATTCAGCTGACAAGAAAAGTCCGATTGTGATACGCACCACCACACGTGAATCAACTCAGATTATGAATCTAATACAATAGGAGACAACTAAAAAAGCATATGACATGTCTGATTAAGGATGTCGAAAACTACAAAACAAGATCACATGCGTTTTCAGCTAAACACGACACAGTTCATCAGCCCCCTTTCAAGATCTCACAAAATCTCAAATCCCCCACCATTTTTCTCCTCCTACATGGATTAAAATAAAGCAAAAAACGAAGCATCCTCGTTACCTTCATCTTCTTCACTCCTTTTGTCTTTTTCCCTCTGAATCTTTGATCCGCCATGGCTGAGCTCTGACACCCATCAGAGCTTTTTCGACCCATTATCGAAGCTGCCTCCCACTTTCCTCTTTCAATTGGTTTATATATATAAATCCATCACTCCCACTCACTTCACTCACTTAAAATCAAATTCAATTCCATTTTCATTTCTTGATTTAGTAATTCCTCTGTTCTTGAAGCTGCTTCTATGGCGGCGGCGGCGGCTCTGTCATTTTCCCCTTTTCATTTGGATGACGCTGCCTCGACCAGAATGCTGAAGGATTTTCTTCAGGAAAGTAATGGAAATGGAGAATCGAAAACGGCGTCGTTTGTTAAGAGGATCTCGTTTCCGTCGCTGAAATTGCGAAGGATTCTTCCGAGAAGCCTTTCGCGGCGGCTGTCGGGGATGAGAGAGAGAGATGAGAGAGAAACCGGCGGCGATTTCGTTGTTAAAGTGAAGGACATTATTCGGTGGAGATCGTTTAGGGATTTGGTCGACGAGACGGCGGAAATGGCGGCTCCGCCGCTTGATTTCGCTGATTCGCCGGATCGTTATACGGCCGCCGCTACTACTACGACGACCACGACGGCAACTAATAGCAACAGTTCGAGTTGGTGCGAGAGTGATTTCACGGCGGAGGATTTGCCGTCGCCGTCGTGGAAAGGTTGTTCCGACGACGACGAGACGGGGAAAGTATATTTCTCTTGTGTCGGTGAAGATTTGTCGGAAACGCCCGTAACAAACTCAGAAAACGACAAAAAGGTGAGCAATAATTGAGTTCTTCGCACTTACGATGAAAAAGGTCTTTTTTAACTTTCTTTGACTTTTCATGACCGTCAGATCTATTTTATTTTGCAAGAAATTTGCGAACCGTGTGATTAGATCAATTTTTTCTCACAATACTAGATTCGTCCGTAGAGTACCACACTGGAACTGAAATTAAATATTTTAAAATAGGGAATTTTATTTTATAATAATAATAAATAATGTATTTATTATTTGATAAAAAATTTACAAATTAATATATTTTATAATAAAATAAATTATGTTTATTTATATATATATTTTTTCTTATAATAAATAATAAAATAAATTAATATATTTTATTATTTATTATAATTAAAAAAAATTCAATTATTTAACAACATTTTGAATCATTTTCCAGGTAAACTTATTATCCCGTGACAATAAAGGTGACAATAAAGGCGAACAAAGTGCTCGACGACTATTAGAACGTATCGACGAAACAATTTCATTATCACGAAGTTACAAGTTAATGGAACTGTTTCAACAAGAACGTCCGTATTATCGAGAAAGTGAAGACGATGAAGAACGGGATAAAAACAATAGCACGGGAAAAGCTAAAGAAGACGGAAATGAGTTGTTTCGACGCGAATTTTCGTACCAGCAAGCAAGTGACAACGAGGAAGAACGAGATAATAATAATGGGAAAATTAGCACGACGGGAGCTGAAGAAGATGAAAATGAATTGTTTCGACGAGAATTCTCGTGTTATCGAGATAGTAAACACGACGGAGAACGAGATGAATCGAACGGAAATGATTTTGGATGGATTTTGTCACAAAAGGGAAAGGAAAATCTTTGGAGAGAGATGGAGAGAGAAGGGAAATGGGGAGTGTTTGGTAACGAGGAGAGAGAAGAATTAGGATTAGAAATTGAAGGGGGAATTTTTGGATGTTTGGTTGATGAAATTATGCTTGATATTTTCCCATTATCAGTATAATTTTATTTATTATTTTTTATTTTATAGTGTCAATAATTTTATTTATTTATTTTTTATAGCATACGGGATTAAGAGGACTTGACCTTGCCTTTGCTTGGGCTAACGTCCCTCAATGCAACGTCACATTTCATCTTGTCATCTCGATCCCTATCGATAGGGTCCATATGTCTTGACGCCATCATAACTCGCTCGGTCATGCCACCGAGAATGGGCCCGCGTGTCATTCATCTCATTGGGACTTCCCGAACATCCATCCATCTGGGTTCTATCGAGGCATTGGCCCTTCCGTGCCCATGCCGAGTCATTTACGGATACCGTACCGGATAGCGGGTGTATGTAGCAACCTCCAACACGCTAGCTAGGGCGCAATAACGGCACACCCGTGCCATCGGTACTGTTCTTCAAAAACCCATTTCAAAGGAAGTCGCTCGAGACACTCGTCCCAGTATGCTCGCCCACACTGTGACACACGTCACAGGGTAGCTCACTTAAGCCACATGGCCCAGGAGTGGCAGAAGGGAAACCTCAAAGACGACAATATAAATTATTTGCAGTAGAATTTCTTCACCGACATTCTAAAAAATGAGAATTTTACAGGGATGGAAAATGAAAAACGATGCGGGGACGAGATGGGGAAACCTTCTCTATCCACGTCTTGTCCCCATCGACATCTCAAATTTATGAGCCAGTTTCAAGTATCGTGAATTTTTTCCCCTAAAATTTGAATTAAAGCATTTCACTTAAAATAGTTAATTTCTCTAATCCAGCTCAAACTCAACAAATGCAGATACAATTATCAAGCTAAATTGAGTAACACCGACAAATAAACATAGGTTAGAAATTGCAGTAGCTGCAAACGAACAAAACTTATCAATTAGTAGTCTAGACAGATTTACAAAGCATTGTCTTGAAGACAACTTATCAATTACAACGATCGTTTCAACGTGATATAACGATCGATTTTGATAGAACAATAGCCGATAACCATCCATATCGAGCCGAACGCTTGGATATTATTATTTGGGTTGTATAGATTTGGATTTCGAATCGTTTTATACCAAATTTATTTTTAATAAAAAGTAAAATATTAATTTTTTTAAAATTGAATTTCAAATGTATTAAAAAAAATTTAAAATTTTAATTTTAAAAAGTTGTTAAAGAATAAATAATCGAACAAATCATTATAAGATTAAATAAAATTAAAATAAACATACCTATATATATATATATATATATATATATATATATATATTTGCAAACAATTGAGAATTTCAATTTTACGAAAAAGATTTATTTAATGTATAATGTACAAATAATAATAATAATAATAAATAAATAAATAAAGTCAAAGGTATTCATTAATGTTATAAAAGCCATGCTTGACGTTTTAGCAAAGCCTTTATTTAACTTCTTCATGTGAAATGTCTCTTTGCACTTACTCCAAACCTTCTAACTCCCTTGGATCGATCAACTTTCGTATCTAACTCCCTTAGATTAATCAACTTCGTATCGTGAAATTTTAACGAGTCGTACGATTAGAAATGGTTGATGTTCGGGGTAAATAGAATCATAAAGACAAACATAGAGGATCGGGAAAATCAACGATAAAAAAAAAGTCTTACATAAAATAAAATTGGACCATCAAACAGGAGCGAGAAAGAAAATTTAGGTCAAAGCTCGAGACCTCCCGTCGACTTTCACTGTGCCCTCGACTCGTATAAACTTGGTTAAGCTCAATTCGACCCTTTTTTAACCTAATCTCGAAGATCGTGTGACAAATACGACATCGATGTGCAAGTTTCTCTTGTTATGTAGGTCACGTCCTTTCTCTTTCGAACAAATTTTACCTTTTTTTTTTTTTTTTGTAAAAATCTAATTAATATTTTATTAATTAATGATATAAATAAAATATAAAAATTTGTGGGAGTTACCTATGAGGTCAATGTACTAAGCTAAAGAGCTAAAATTTAAATATATTATTGCTTGTTATTAAAACAATCTCTCTATTTTCAAACCTTATTTTATTTCTCCAATCCCTATGATACATTTATTTTAATGGTTTAACATATTTTAAAAAATTAAGTAAAAAATAATATTATTCAATTTAAAAAATAAAAAATAATATTAATTTAAACTTTAAATTGCATTAATATTTTTTTTCTATATATTTATCATTTTGATAATATCAATTATTTTACGAGATTTTGTCATTTATTCGTTTTTTTTTACTTAACTTTTACTTTTTAAATTTTTAAATTTTATTTTATTTTAGAAAGTTGTTTTAATTAGTGTTGTAGTTGACTTTTTTTTTAATTAATTATAATTTAAATTTTATAATAAAGAATTTTAAATTCTTCGTTTTAGAATCCAACACCTAAACGTAGTGTCTATATCAATTTTTTATTTAATAAATCAAGAGCATATTAAATTATTTTTTTTTATGTAAAATGGTTAAAATTTAATGATTAAAATAGGAATTAATTTTATTTAATTAATTGAGAATTAAAATAAATTTCAGACCTAAAATCAATTCATTTAAAATAATAATTAATCATTTATTAGCATTAAACCTCCATTATCATCATATTATTATTATTATTATTATTTTGTTATTTTATAATTTTATTTGACAATATATATATATATATATATTGAATATTTTGAAGCACATTTACAAAAATTAATTCTTTTTTTTTTACAAAATTGATACAAAAATATAAAATAAATATGCATAAGAAATAGAAAAAATAAAATTATGAAGACAGAAATAAATAATATAAAAACTAAATTTAGACCAACATTTGCATAAATTTATATTTATTTATTTATGGAAATTCCCTTTTCAGGTAATAATATTCGTACATTTTTGGATAAATTAAACTGTGAAATTTGTAAATTACTTATCTACCCTCGTCTCGAATTTCCTATTTTGAAGACGCGGCATAAGAGTTTTTATCCAGTACGCGCAAATCCACAGCATCAATGCCAATGTAGCCGTCAGATCATAAATAGAGATGATCTAACCGTCCACATAATGCACGTTTTTTTAAATCAATCTTTAGTGAATATGAAAATTGTCTATTAAAATTAAAATTACATATAAATAATAATAAAATTCAAAATTTCTACCAATTTTGTTAATAAATTTAGAAGGGAAATTGAAATTTTTTCCCTTTTTTCAATATAATTTTATTTTCAATTTTCATAAATTGGGTTGAATTTTTGAAAAAACGGAAAATTTTAAATGGGTTTCGAGTTGACATTTTTTTTATCGGGTCAACATAATCAACTCGAAAATAGGGTTACAACCTAATCCTAATCCAAACCCGCTCTACTTTTGAGATTATTATAAAAAAATTAAGAATATTTGAGGTTGAAGAGATTTTAGTTATTAATGTAACATGTAAGGTGGATATGTACTATTTTTTAAACAATTAAAAAAATAACCCGACAACCGAATCCAACATGAAAATAGAGTGTTAGTTTGGGTTGGATTGTGAACTCAATTCGAGTTGTTCGGGTCAATTACCTAACACTAGTTAAAAAATTCGAATTGGTGCAAAATATTTTTCGAACCTGAATAGTGTAGACCCCTAATCATTAGAAGCACTAACAAATTGAACACACGACACGATAGCTAAGTGTGTCACATGTCAAAGTCGAGATCGAGTCTAAAACTAAATTCTAACTTTCTCGACCAAAATTATAATCGTTAAAATATTAAAAAAAAATACTTTTTAAACAACAAGAAATAATTAAATAATAATTAAATAATTAATTAAAAAAAAAAGGGGGGGGCCAGCGCGGAGCTTAGAATGTAACGTGAATCAGCGTCCACTTTCACCGCCGGCTCCGCGCCAACGTTTCTACATAAACTCAATTCTTCACTCTTTTAAATGTCTCTCAACGGATTTTCTCTCTCTAGCATGCAAGTTTCTTCGGTGTCCATTTCAATGGATTCGTGTTCTTGATTCCTTCAATTTCTGTCTCAGATTCTTCTCCCTCCTTTTGATTTCTTCATCACTTTTGCCTTCGTTGATTGATTGGGGGAGGAAGAAGAAGACGAGCAGGCGACTATGAAGAACGACGAACAAGTTCGGACTCTGTTTGGGATTTCCCTCACCGAGCGCCCTAAATGGCACCAGTTTCTCATTTGCTCTTCTGGATTTTTCTTTGGCTACTTAGTTAATGGCATCTGTGAGGTATTGTTTTTTTTTTCGGATTTTCTCTTTTCTGTTTGGTTCCCGAGAAAATACTGGACTTATACGGCTATTCTATTGTACTGTTTGTTTGATTTTTTGTATTCGGTTTTAGTTTTTGTTTGATTTATTGAAGGAGATTTGTGATTCCGTTGCTGCATGTCACTCTGTTTGTTTCTCGAGAAAATGAAATTTGGGGAAAGACTGAAAATCGCTCGGAAAATTTCTTACTCTTTGATTTTGGCATTCAACCTAAAGATCCTCGTAATTCCATTTCCATTTCAAATACTTGCTTGGTTGATCCGTTTATCTGTTCATATGCTACTGGTTTTCAATTTTGGGGATTGAAATTATTACATTCGATATTTCCAAATTTACATGAACTGAATCTCGATTTCTGCCTAATGTTTAGGAATATGTATATAACAAGCTGCAATTCAGGTGAGCGTTTGACATAAAACTTCTTATGCTCTTGAAATTTCCATAACGCATTTCTTTAATTTCACTCAATATTGAATTTCTTTGCTGCAGTTATGGATGGTACTTCACATTTATTCAAGGATTTGTGTATCTTTTTCTGATTTATCTCCAAGGATTCACTGCCAAGCAAATGGTTAATCCTTGGAAGACTTATGTAAAGCTTTCTGCTGTGTTGATGGGTTCCCATGGCCTTACCAAAGGATCTTTGGCTTTTCTAAACTATCCTGCTCAGCTTATGTTCAAATCTACGAAGGTAAATTTGGCTTGTTCTCGTGTAGATATGCTTTGAAATCTTGTTTGTTTGGGAATGCATATGAAAAATCAGCTGGTCTTTGTGAGTTTATGTCTCGAATGTTAATTGACAATCTCGTTGAAAAATGATATGTTGTCTCAAATGTCGATTGGTAATCTCTAGAGAAATGATCTATTGTCTCAAATGTTGATCGGTAATCTTGTCGAGATACAATCTGTAGTCTCGAATGTTGATTGATAATCTCTAGAGAAATGACCTGTTGTCTCGAATGATCTCGTCGAGAAACGATATGTCATCTCGAAGGTCAATCGATAATCTCATCGAGAAATTATCTACTGTCTCGAATGTCAATCGATAATCTCTAGAAAATTGATTTGTCATCTCGAATGTTGATCGACAATCTCGTTGAAAAAGGATTTGTTGTCTTGAATGTCGATTGATAATCTCGTCGATAAATGATTTGCAAGCTTGTTGTGATTGAATCTGATGGGGATCAGTAAATGCTTTTCCTTAACGTGTTTTCATTGGTCTGTATTGTTTGCTAGAAAGATAATTCAATTCACTATATTTATGTCTTTTTTCAAAATTTTTCCTAATAATTTTAAATTTTTTGTTTCATTCTTTGATTCTGTCATAGTCTTCTAAAAATTTCAATTGCCTCCTTTAATTGTGTCCTAATCTTTTTAAGTTTTTAATTTTGACCTTTTAAAATTTTTATCTCATCCTTTAATTTTGTCCTAATCTTTTAAAAATAATTTTAATTTCATCCTTTAGGTGTTGACTTTTTTTTTTTTTTTTTTTTTTTTTTTTTTTTTT